CCACGGGGCGAAAAGGGCACTGGGGGCCCCCCGGAGGGCCCCCCACGGAACGCCGCACAATAAAGAACTCCCCGTAAGGGTCCAGCAGCTGGCCCGACAGCAGCCACGAAGACAGCTGCAGCAGCAGCAGCAGCAGGTCGGGGGGGGTGACACGAGAAGCCAGCGCAGCAGCAGCAGCAGCAGCGCCTGCAGCAGCAGCCGCACCAGCGGCAACAACAGCACCGCCCCCGCACCCGCAGAAACCACAGCAGCAGCAGCAGCAGCAGCAGCAGCAGCAGCAGGGTACCTGGAAAATGAAGACTGCTGCGCATGCACGGACGAGGTGTACGTACACCCCGCGGGCCAAAGGGTCTCCGCTGCTGCTGCCCCTCCAAAGGAAGTCCATTAAAACCCCACAAGGCAGTGGGGCCCCCGCAGCAGCAGCAGACAAAGCCATTCCCCACGCCTGCAGCAAACCCTAAACCCTAAACCCTAAACCCTTAACCCTAAACGCTAAACCCTAGGCCCTTGGGGCGGCCGCGAAGCAGCGGGGAGCTTAGCCGCTAGCTGAGGCGCTGCCTGCGGCTCGCGAGGGTGGTCTTCTGTAGAGGTTTAGGGTTTAGGGTTTAGGGTTTAGGGTTTAGGGTGTAGGGCTTAGGGTTTAGGGTTTACTTGGGACAGGATTTGCCTGAGAACGCGCATCTTGTGGGGCTGGTCTTTGAGGGCCAGCGAAAGTGCAGCAAGAGGGGTTTGCTGCTGCTGCAGCAGCTCATCTTCAGCAGCAACTAAAGTTGACAAATATACTTCACAAAGTTCCCGCGAGGCCCGGGCAAGTGCTGCAGTGTAGAGCCCCCCTGCTGCTGCTGCTGCTGCTGCTGCTGGGGGAGGGGAAGAGGAAGCCGCTGCTGCTGCTGCTGCTTCGCGGGAGGGCCCGGAGAAAGGGCCCCCAGCAGCAAGCCGGGCTGCGTTCCCCTTAGGGGCCCCTGGGGGGGCCCCCCATGGGGCCCCCCCCTGCTGCAGCAGCGACTGCGTTGCTGCTTCTGCTGCAGCAATGAACTCGCGAATCAGCAGCAAGTCGTACCCTGGGGCTACTGCCCTTTCTAGGGCCTCTCTCTCCCCCTCACTGAACCCTTTTAACTTCGGATTTAGGCGAAAGCCTCCCCCTCCCGACACCAGAGGTCGCAGGGGGCCCCCGGGGGGCCCCCTGGAGGCCCCCCCGGGGCCCCCCCTCCCCACAGAAGGGGCCTCGGGGGGCCCCAGGTCTTCATAACGCACGAAGACGTCTCCAGGAAAGCCCGCGAGGGCCATCAAGAGGTCGTGCAGCATTTGGGGGAGCTGAGGTGTACAGACACCTGAAATGAGGTGTACACACACCTGAAAAGGGTGCGCAGGGGGCCCCAGGCCAGCCAGGGGCCCCCAGAATGCCTCACTTTATTATTAAACTGTTTTCTATTTCATTTTAAATTCTTTTTGGAGTTCTTTGGCCCTCAAACGGCATCTGCAGGGCCCCCTGGGGGCCCCCCCTTGGGGCCCCGTATGCGGGGCCCCTAGCCGGCTGGGGGCCCCCTGTACCGTCTTTTCAGCTTATTTATTTTCTTTTATGATTTTTATTTATTTATTTATTTATTAGTTAAAATTTAAAAGACTTTTAAGAAGTTACTTATCTGAAAATGCAAAGACAAGAGCAAAAGAAGCAGCAGCAAATAGTTCGCGATGACACCCGCAGCCGAAATAGAGGCCCTCAGCTGCAGCAACAGCTGCTGCCGTAGATTTCGCTCCAGCTGCAGCAGCAAAATCTACTGCAGCAGCAGCAGCAGCAGCTGCCCGTGCTTCC